CCATTTATTTGAAATTCTGGTCAATGGATCCAAGTTTATAACAACAACAAATCATGTTGTTCCTTATAACTTTATAGGAATTCTTCAGACTGGATTAATAAATGCAGTGAGAACTGGTATTTATTCCCAACAATGTTAAATGCAAATTATCAAAAAAAAAGCATCAGAAGCAGTGTATTTACAAGCTAATTGAACCCTATGATGTCAATTGCAAGAACTAGGTCTGTTTATCCAGTATTAATTGCATATCTATATCAAGAAATGATATCCCTGCTGCTTTCCCTTTCAAAAACCATTTATTATATATTTGCATGGTAATGGTTGGTTTTTATATCTCAAAAATGTGACTGGTTAGGATTTTTCTGTTTCTTTCCATTTGAACTTGATTTATTATAATTTATCATTAGTCCCAACTTCCATTGGCACTTTCTTCTTCTTTTATGGGTGACAGTCTATTAACAGTTGTTGTGATAGTTGGTGATGTTGCAGTAATAATTTCTGAAGTGGTCTTCTCAGCTAATGGTGTTGGTTTATAGGATATTCTATGATTTATAATCTCATTGACATTTGGTATATCCATGATTGTGATGGTGGGAATGGTTATTGGAGTTGGTTCAATAATGTCAGTGACCAAAGGTCCTTCTTCTAAAGGAACTTTGTTTTCATTTATGGGTTTGTCAGAAATTTGATATAGACTTCTCTTGAATTTTTATTGCTTTATTAAAAAAAAAAAAAAACATACAAGGAATAATAAATGAATTGATTAAAAAATAAAAGATTGGAAATTACGTTTGATGATAACCTATTTTGCTTAGGTGTTATATGATTTCCTACATCAGAAAATAATTTTTCAGATGGAACTGAAGTTGCACTTAAATACTTTGCTAATATTGAAAGCAATGGCAATTAATCTTGTCTATCTTTCCATCAACTAAGTGTGTGTTATATTACCTGTTACATTAGGCATGTTTAAATATTTGGTTAATTCATTATATTCTTGTTGTTATGAAACATCATCAAACAAGTCATCAAATATAGTTTTGTGACAAATTTTGGTGTTAATACAGTTGTTGATCTTTTTGGGGTATTCAATAAATTTTCTTGATACTGTTAGATAGTATCAGGTACAAATTTTAAAGTTTTAAATCTAGGATCTAAAGCTGAAGCCAGATAGCCAAGTGCTGATGTTTTGCATTGACCAATAATTTATCAAGGAATTATACGAAGTTTTAAGTGGTGGTCCGCCGATCAACGATAGATCTGTAATATCCTGATTATATATATTTTTTTTCAACTTTACTAGTCACTCCAATATACATATATAAATTTTTTTTCAAAATAAATAATAATGACCACTAAATCCAATAAAAGAGCTATAAAACCAAAAAGTACTTCTCAACAAATGGAAATTGATGATGATAATATCAATAATAATAAAAAAGTTATAATCACTGCTGAAGAAGACGAAGAGGGTGATGAGGAAGAAGAAGAGGAGGAAGAGGAGGGAGGAGAAGATGGAGAGACTGTTGATGATGATGCTTATAGTGAAATATTAGATTTTGTAATTAATTATTTTTAAAGTAAAAACCCATTTTTTGGTTTTTTTTACTTTACAATATTATTAATTTTTTTAAAAAAAAAGAAATTTAATAAAGATGATGATCCAACAAGTTTAACATTTAACATATCAGAAGAAGATCATACATTGGGAAATGCTTTACGTTATGTAATAATGCAAAAGTAATAATTATGATGATGATGATGATGATGATGATATTTTTATTTTTATTTTTATTTTTATTTTTATTTTTATTAATTGACTTGATTTTTTTTTTTTCAAAAAAAAAAAGTCCAGAAGTAGAATATTGTGGATATTCTATACCACATCCATCAGAAGATAAACTTAATTTACGTGTACAAACTACCAGTAATTAATTTCTTCATTATGTTAAAAACTTTTGTAATATATTAATTTTGTATTTACAGAGTATTTTATTTTATTTTCATAGACAATATAACAGCAATAGATGCAATGCATAAAGGTTTAGAAGATTTGAGAAATATATGTGGTCACATAACAGATTTGTTTGTTGAATCAAATAAATCTTATGATAACAATGAAAATTAGGAAATTAACAATTATATAAAAGTTTCTTTTTTTTTTTTATATATAGATTTTAACCTTTTAAATCTTTGTTGAAAAAGAAGATATTTTTTTGAATTGAATGCAGCATGATTTGTTGGTATATGAGAGAAAGTTGACAAATATAAGATAATGCTTTTCTAGGATCATATTATTATTATATTAAATGTTTTAAGAAATAAGTAGTAGATGATGATGCCTCTTTTTAGCACCATAATCATTAGCAATTTTTAGATTTCTGAACATGACCAAGTACTAAATTCAATAATATCATAGTACAAACCACATGAATATTTTTATATAATCCAGATTAATGTCTATGATGCAAACAGTTCTAGTTGGATGTAGAGCTCATGCTAGATATAATGTCAAAAACCCATTACCAGTTCCACTTTCTAAAATTTTTGAATATGGATGTAAATTAAACCTATCTATATGCAAATATATATATGTATATTTATTATCACTATCTGATTGATTATTGATAGATCAAATTAAATTATGTAATATTACAATTGTGCTGGCATCCTTGGATAAATTGAAGTTGTATGTCTTCATACATTAGAAAATAACTTGAGAGAGAGTGTGTGTGTGCGCGTGTGTATGAGAAAATAAAATAATTATTTTAAATAAACAAAATCAAAGTTGGAAAATGAATTTATCTAAAAACCCCATCAAAAATTCAATAGTGGATTTCTAATAACAGAATCATTCCTTTATGTGTATCATGTTTTCCATTTTTACTCAAAGGATTGAATAAAGTTGTTCTTGGTGTTTGATTATTTTTTGGCAAGGATAATGAAGACTAATCACATAATATTATCATACCTCCTTTTATAAATTTAGATCTATCTAATTTAGAGGAGGGGGGTAAGGCTCTGAACAAATCAATGAAATTTGAACTGATTTGAATTGATTTGAATTTGAATCAACTTAATTTTTGATTCGTTTCATTCAAATTGAATTCACATCAAATCCAAATTGTACTTTGATTTGATTCAACTTGATTCAAACTGATTTGAATATATAATTTGATTTGAACTAATTTGATTTACTTGATTTGATTCAAACTGACTGATTTGAATCTATAATA